CCTCAGCCTCTGCCACTCCTCTGGTCCACGGCTACACTGAAGCTTTGACATCAAGTATGCACACGCAATCTTAAAATCTAGGAACTGTAAATGAAAGGCAGCATTCATCTTTCTCAGACAGCTTAATTCTCTTAGGATGACCTCTAGCTGCACCCATTTTCCTGTAAATCATGTGATGTCACTATTTTATGTCTGTGAAAACATCCAGTGTAAATACACCCTTCTTTCTCATGCATTGCTCTGTCATTAAGACACCTCAGTATGGGCTCCACATTCTAGATATGTAAATAACACTGGAGTAAACATTATGTGTGAGTAATGTGCTCACCTGGAGTCCTTCAGTAGCTAACCCATGAGTAGTAGAGACTTCCACACTGATCACCGTAGTAGCTGACCTGGTTTTCTACTTCCACCAAGCATCACATAAGGCTTCCTTCTGCCTTATGTAAGGATGCCCACATCTTCACCAACATTTGTTATTTGGTTTTTGTTTTGTTTCAATGAGTACTATTCAGATTGGAGAGACAGAATTCCAATGTAGTAGTTTTATCTTACATTACTAGTAAGGATGAACTTCATTTTATGTTTTTATTTTTTATGTTTATTGGTTATCTTTTGAGAGTGGTCCAGTCATTGCATGGCTACAGGTTTGTCATACTATTCTTTATTAGGCTGAGATACATTCCTTCTAGTCCTACTGTCTTTAGGGCTTTTCTCATGAAGAGGATGTTGGGTATTTGTTAAAAGCCTTCTCTGAGCCTGGCACACGCCTTTAAACCAGCGTTTGGGAGGTAGCAGCAGGCTGATCTGTAAGAATGGAGCCAGCCAGGTCTACAAAGCGAGTTCCAGGACAGCCAGAGTGTCAGGAGCTGTGTAGCTTAGTCTCAGATCAGCATATGAATGCCTGTCCAGTGGATCACTGCAAGGCAAAGGCCGGTAGAGATCAACTTTCACTTGGCACGGACCAGTGGACCACAAGGCAATGCAGGACTTTGCTCAATCCATGCAGCCCACAGGCTCTTCTTTTTTTCATTATATTGTAGATTCCTTTGGTAGTTTTTAGTCTCACCTTGTCAATCACACATGCAACAGCAGCAATTTTCCCTTGAAATTCTGTCCTTTCTTGAATATTTTCCCCTTAGAATCAGCAGGGGGCTAATATTTCTCAAATTTCTTATCTGGAATTACTAACTACAACACCTAATTCTGGAAACGTTTCTGACTCAACAGAGACTGCTAGGTACATGAGAAAAACAACACTTGGAACATTAACCACGTCTCACAATTCTGGAGAGGAGAGTAGGGCATGCATACACAGAATAGGGAAAAGGCCTCAGGAATACACAGTGCCAACGTTGAGAGTAAGTTCCTGGACATCAAGCATACAGAATCAATGGTAGGATGTGGTATGTTCCAAGAGGAAACATGTAATGCAAAATGTGGGATGGCCAGATCCATCTTCAACACACACAGGAACTTCTCCTGGTGAGAGAAGCATGGTGTGGTGGGATGGGAAGAGTGTCTTATCAAAGCTGCCTTCTACAGAGTCGGAGACATGGGACCCTCTTGTTGAGAAGGGAGCTGTATAAAAGCATGTCTCACAGACATGAAAGAATTGTCCGGTTTAAATATTGTCCTTAAAGCAATGTACCCAAGTCTATTACTTTTTAACTTTGTAACCACAGGTAAGTGCCAGATGACACAAGCACTGTGGGAGCAGACTGTGTCAGGCTAGATACATAGTTAATCCTGCAGAAATGCTGAACTCTACATCTAGAATAAGGTTATGTAGAGGGTGGAAAAGTGTATTGGGGGAAATAAAGGGGGAACAATGGTGGCTTTTATAATAATTTAGAAATAATGTATTTCTTAAAATATGATGTAGTTCTTAAAACTCAAAACTAGAAGTCAGTAATAAAAAATGTCTATGTAAGCCTTATTAAACAAAACAAAACAAAAACTCCGTTAAAGTATAAATAAAAATGGCTCAAGCATTTCGGGGCCACTTGAATGCAATCCACCTGGTGGTCAGTCTTCCTTGCACGAGCCCCGCCCCTCTCAGGTCCTGAACCCAAACTGAGGCTGGACCCCTGCGAAAAAGCCTTTTCTGCATGTATGGAAACTCTTTACTGATTTCTGTCTTTGAGGCTATTCATGTATAGAATTACTAACCTGAACATGTTGAAGCATCGAAACATCTGGAATTAAGCCAATGCTCATGGTGCAGGATTTCTGGTGCACCACTTAATTCATTTTCCACGTACCTTATTGAGAAATTCTACATCTATGTCCACCAGAAGGAGTTGCCTACAGCTTTCTCTTCTGTTGTCTCTTTATCTAGTTCTGGTACATGGTCAGCACCAGCTTGATAAAGAGTTTGGCAGTTTCTTTACATTTTCTAATTTATGGACTGGTTTGAGGAGCACTGGTGTCCTCAAATAGCTGGTAGAATTTTAGCAGTGGTTCCATCTGGGCCTGAACATTTTTAGCTGCGGGACTTTCTTATTAGTGTTTAAATCTCACTGTTTATTGCAGATCTACTTAAAAATTTTATGCTCTCTTAGTTTAATTTTGTTAGGTCATAAGCAACTAGACATTATCCATTTCTTTTAGATTTTCTAATTCAGTGGAATACATGTTTGTTATTTGTTTTTAAGGTTAATTCTAATGATTTTCTAAATTTCAATGGTATCTGTTGTGATACTGTCTTTTCTTTCTTTCCTTTTTTTTTTTTTAAGTTTTTTTGGGACAGGGTTTCTCTTTGTAACAGCCCTAGCTGTCCTGGAACTAGCTCTGTAGACCAGGATGGCTTCGAACTCACAGAGATCTGCCTGCCTCTGCCTCCCGAGTGCTGGGATTAAAGGCACGTATCATCGCTGCTAGGCCTTTTTATTATTGTTTTAAAAATGTATAGACAAGGCTGGCCTCGACCTCGTGATCTTCCTGTCTCTCCAACCTTCAGCAAATCCTGCAGGTGTGAGCCATCACAAACAGCCTGTCTTTTCAATGAAATCTTGATTTGGGTTTTCTCTCTTTCCCTTAGTTTGGCTAAGCATCTGTCAACTTTGTTATCTTTACAAAGAACCGAGTCTGCTTTGATACTTTATATATTATCTCTTCAGTCCATTTCATTTTCTTTCTGCCCTAATCTTAATTATTTCTTTCTATCTGATGGGGGCTGTAGGAAAAGGAAATAGAAAGGAAGACTTGGGGAGAGGGCAGTTTTAGCTAAAGTTATAATGAAAAGAACAACATAAAGAAATACAATCTATCAGACAACCTGGAAAAGCCCCAGCTCTCGAGACACTGAGACACAGAGCCCCTAGAAACCACACTGCCTGCCTGCTTTGGAAATGGCTGTCAAAAGGAAAATGAAAAAGAAAAGACTAGAGAAAAAGGAGGAGGATAAGGAGAATGGAAAAGGAAAGAGCAGAGAGTGTAGGAGAGCAGGGCAGCACCGGCGAGCTAAGCCAACAGGAGTGTTAGCAAAAAGCAAAAGCGTCAGGGGGAGAGAGTGATGGGGCGCGCATCTCAGTGCAGTCTTCTTTGCCATTCCAGTGTCTCTGCTCTCCTCCCTAGCTCCCAGATGCCTTTAACACTTCTGGGCAGATCTTTGCAAGCTCAGGTCACGGATGCTGTTATCATCACGGGTGGTACTCCATCAGTCAAATCACAGCTCTGGGCAAGCCCTTCAGGGAGGGGTGGGCTGTGAATGCATTCTTGGCAAGAGTCTTGTCCTGTCATCCTGGGTAAGGCTCAGAGACAAATGCTAGCCCTCACCCTGGGCAGTCATCTCCAAAGACCCAGTCGTCCACCTGGATGGCCATGCTGCAGGTGCAAGTCTTTCATCAGCGAACTCAAGTCCTTCTCGACAGCTGGTAGACATTCTGGAACCTGAGTCTGTGACCCTGCAGACTCTGGCTCTGATCAGCTTCCCCCTGGCTGAACAATTCTTAGTCTGGTACAAAGTTCATCCCCTTAAGTCTAGAGGCAATCTGCTGGCTAAGTTTCAGGGTATAATCAGTCCTGGGAAACTTTCTCTGAGTCATCAAGCCGCCCACTTGGCAGGGGTCTTTAAAAAAAAAATCTTTTTCTGGCTGAGGACCAACTGGCTAGACTGTGCCAGCAACAGGGCCCCCACGGGCTTCCAGAAGTCTCCTAGCATAGGAAGACAGGCACACCCAGTATAGGTACGTTTAAGATCTGGACGGGACTCCTCCCCTCCATGAAGAGGTTGTCACTCAAGTTCAACCTGAATTTTTACTGTTGAAGATCATTTTCCATTTCCCCTTTAGGACTTAGGGTTAGCCAAAATGGTCCTCCCAAGGCTCCCACAGATAAGAGCAGTCCATTCTTCCCTTCTGTCTGGAGGTAGGCGAGACTTCCAGGCCCAGCGCTGGCTGCTGTGGATTGACTCTGTATCACTGCATCAGGTTCTGGGCAGAGCTAGCAAAGGCAGTTTCTGCGGGTCCCTTGGGTCCCTTATTTTCTCTCCCAGTACCTCCAAAATTATCATGGGCTGATTTGAAAAGCTGTTAGTCGCAAGGTGCATTGGTTCAGGATCTGCTCACTCGTAGTGAGATGGGCAGCCATGACTGACTTCAGGAGGAAAATGCCAAGATTGAACTGCTGTCAGTTTTACAGTCAACTTACCAGCTGCAGAAAAAGGAGCTCCACAGCACCAAAGGAGAGTTAGGGAGGCAAATGACACAGTTTGGAAAGAAATACTCAGGCCCAAGGCTTTTTGAAAATAGGGTGTAGTTTAGTTCCATACATCACTCTGCAAATGGCATTAAAGATAAACATGGAGCAAACCTTAAATCCATGCAGATTCCCACCAGACATGCAGATGTAAAAGGCATAATTGCAGAGTCAAACATACAAAATAAAGTTTCCTTTTGTGACCCACCAGCCCTTCTTCAATTTAAAAGACCACAAAATATAAGTGACTGTACTCAACCTAGTTATTACAGACAGACAAGAAGTTTCAGACTGCTTACTGTCTAGCTTGGTCCTTACTGGAGTAGGTTACATTTACAACTGCAGTTTCGGAGTCCGTGTTCACTAGGGGAAGAGAGAAAGAGAATTGGTTAGTTTTCTTTCTGCTTCCTTCCTTTTATAAATTTGAAAGCAATTCAGAAGACAGGTACCTTGCTCGCAGCTCTCCACCACTCCATACTGGACTAGTAAACTATCCAACACCTAGCAGGACGGGAGAGAAAATTGTAAGTTTTCAGTTTCCCAAGTTATTAACCAGGGCAGGAATATATGTTCTCAGATCACAAGTAATCATGATGGAAAAGAGTCAAAGAATTATCTGGAACTTTGCACTACAGAACCACAAGGCATACACTCAGTGCACCTCTCTGTTGCCTGTGCTCGCCCATGCCTGTTCCCCAGCTTTCAGCTCTTTGCTGGTGGATACCTGCTGCTCTCCCACGCAGCCCACTGTCAAGGTAGAAAGCAAATTGCACGGTATTTCTTATACACAAATGCATCTTACTGCCTCCATGAATTCAAAGCCATAAGACAAGGCCTACATTAAAGAGTTTTATCTGTAAGATGATCCTTTCCAAAAAAAAAAAAAAAAAAAGGCTTCCCCTTTTTTTGCCCCCACTGACACTAGCAGGACAAGGTAAGCACGGGCAGAGCGAACATCTCCAGATCGGAACAGGAGTGGAAAACATAAATACAAAGCTGTCTGTCTCTCTCTCCTGAGCTGTAAGCTGTTCTGACAGAGACACTATGAAAGCAGTAAGTATAGGTTCATACTTTCCTCAAGGAAGGTTGGTCCTAACTTGTTAACAGAACGCCCGTTTTTGTTTTCTTCTTTTCAGACAAGGTCTTCCATAACTCAGGCTGGCCTCTAACTCACTATTTAGCTGTGACTTGTCATGTTGAGAGCTGAAGTACAAGGGTGGCTGTGGAGGAGGGTAGCAGGCAATAAGGGGTAATTACCTATTTAATATGTTTACTTAATCATTCTTAGTTCTTCCAAAAGCAATTTGCTCGGTAATTAAGTAGCTTTCAGTTTCATTGCTGCCACCTCAACTTTATTGCTCCAGAGACCAAGCTAAGTCCCATGGCCTATAGACAGTGAGGGAAACACTACCTGATAAATAAGCCAGGGGAGCCAATGCTTTCCAAAAGCTCCACTGGCAAAGGGGTCCATCTGCACGGTATACAATGCTCACATGTGTACATGTGTGCATACAGAATGTATACACACAAATGCATATACATGTGCGTGCACAAGTAAAACTTGAAGTTTAGAAAATATATCATATGCCTATTATTTAATCGGGTTTAACATATTCAAAACAGAACTTCTTGTACAATTAAACTATTTGTTGTTTTGTTTTGTTTTGTTTTGTTTTTTCAAGACAGGGTTTCTCTGTGTAGCCCTAGCTGTCCTGGAGTTTGCTCTGTAGACCAGGCTGGCCTGGAACTCAGAGATCCGCCTTCCTCTGCCTCCTGAGTGTGCACCACCATCACCTGGCTCATTTAAACATCTTATGGCCAAGAATAAGTAGATGCTACTGGATATGGAGTACACTGTATAAAATCTGCCATCTACTACACTCAAAATGGTAAACTTCATAGAATATAAATAATACTCAAATAAACCTAACTTTAAGATCAACCAAACCAATAAAACTGTAATCCTTAAAAGATTACAGGTCCAGCATTAGGCTTGGTATCTAGATGTTGAACAAATTAACACCACACCCTGGCACCATGTGTGAGCAGCTTACATCCAGGCTGCAAGGGGATTTCAGTGGTCCTCTGTGCCCCAGAAATTTTAGACACAAATCTAGAGATAACTGTGACTCAGATAATTGGGGTACGGGGGGACAGATAGACCACCAATGGTCTAATTATCCTCCAGTCTGGGCAAGTACCATGGTACCTTAAATCCCAGCACTCAGGAGGTAGAAACAAGTGAGTCTGAGGCCAGACCAATCTACTTAAGGAGTTCCAGGCCATCCATGCCTACACAGTAAGATCTTATTTCAAAAATTAAGTAAATAGTTGGGCAGTGGTGGCGCACACCTTTAATCCCAGCACTTGGGAGGTGGATCTTTGAGATCCTGGCCTACAAAGCGAGTTCCAGGACAGCCAGACTGTTACACAGAGAAACCTGTCTCGAAAAATAAACCAACAGCTAAATATAAAAATTAAGTAAATTAATAAAATCCTCAAAAAATGAAATGGGGCCATGTGTGATTATGGTTTTTCAGGCCAACTATCACCCTCCCAGAGCACAAGGATCTCCTACTGAGTCTGACCTCTTGACTCATCCTACATTAAGTAGAAGATACGCTGGTTCCTATGACCAGTCACATCTACTGCCTAGCCCCTGGTTCTTGCTGCTTTTTTGTTCATTTTCATTCAATACTGTTGAATGCTCCCTCCCCTCCCCTCAAATCCCTTACCTACTTCTAAACTTTCCACAAATCTCTCACAAATCAGAATCCATACTTAAATGAATTTATTTCACTCAAGGTGGATTATAACCATTTCTCCATGCTTAGTGAAATTTAAACCCAACTGAAGGGAAAAGAATGAATCAAGGCAATGCCTCCGTGGAAATTCTTCCTCTTGGGACTAAAACCACCCGCACATGGAGGAACTCTGCTTCACAGTGTTCATCCAAAAGCACAAGCAGCAAAGAAAGAGCTAGGTGAGAAATGCAAAGGGTACTGGCGTCCTGAAAGGATGGTAAAGAACCAAGGTCGTTCACAACTCATAGAATAGAAACCACCTCAACACTGATCAACTTACGAGTAAAGAGAGCACAGTATTCCCCTATAAAGAGCTATCCTTGGAGTCAGGTGGTGGTGGCGCATGCCTTTAATCCCAGCACTCGGGAGGCAGAGGCAGGCGGATCTTTGTGAGTTCGAGGCCAGCCTAGTTTACAAGAGCTAGTTCCAGGACAGTCTCCAAAGCTACAGAGAAACCCTGTCTCAAAAAACAAAAAACAAACAAACAAACAAAACTATCTTTGGTCATAAAAGGAAGCATTAAAACACACTAGAGCACAGATGAACCTTCAAACTACTATGTCAGATGACTAAGCCCCGCACACTGCCTGATTCCACCGTTTGAAAGGCTAGAATACCAAATTCCATAAGGGCAGAAGACAGATGAAGGGAAGTGGTCAGTACAGCTGGAGGTTCCTTCTGGGGTTAGGAAAATTTTCCAAAGTCACAGCGGTGGCAGCAAATAAACTGAGACACACTAAAAACCCTTGACTGTGCATAACCTACCTGAACTGCAAAGAACTTGAACTCAAACTCAACAAAGCTGGTGAGTATTACTGAAGTTCAGCAAATGACCCAAAATTTGAAACATTTTGATATTCTGTATTGTTGTGTAACAGTTTCCTCTGTGTCCAAAACATTTCATCATGGAGGAAACTCGTTAAGAATAGGAAGGAAAACAACTCAAAATACCTTGAGGAAGTCCCTGAAACTGACCGATTCATTAGGCCCCTCCCCACCTGAGTAAACAATAAAAGTCTCAGATGCAAGAGAGCTGAACTGGAAAGAACACCTTGAGATCAGGCCACAGGCCTGGAAGAAGCCGATTACCAGCCAAGCTGCCTCAAGAGCTTAGACTGAGGCACCAAACACGACTCTCCAAGCTGAGCTGCTTGCAAGCTGTGCAGTGAGCTCCAGGTCCCCAGCTTTGTGAGCTGTCACCCATTCGAGGGTGGGCTTTGGTGATACGGCTATCTTTGAGTCATTTCTGCTCCTGTAACCAACCCATATTCCTGTAAGCTGCCTCAATAAAACTCACTGGTTCACCAAGTTGGACTTTGGCAGTATCTGTACTTTGGTCTGTTGTGGATTTCCTGAGGTCACTAGAGGTGTGTTAGTGTCTCTCCAGGAAAACTTTTGTCACACAACATGCCAATACTCATGAAACCACCACAATCATGAAAAAGCAGTTTCCTCGTGTGTATCTTCAACTTAGTATCTTATCCATCCACAATTATTCAATAGACATCTGAAAATAGCCAGGTAGCTCTGGCTTCCTCTGCAGTCCCAAGCTCAGCCCTACTGAAACCTTCTCCTGTGTTCCTTCTGCTTTCATACCAGTTTCTCACACTGAGCCACGAGCCCACTGTACTTGCTTCCAGAAGCTACATAACCTGAAGGGGTTTCAAATAGTGGATAGTGGGCTGTCCATACTTCAGCATGGTTACACGCACGCACACACACAACCATTTTTTTAATTTTTAATTTTTTTTTAAATCCCAACACCTATGCTCCAGCCATATTTTCATGACTGAGTGGTAAAGTGTTTTTCTCTGTGTGTGTCTATTTCTCTGTCTGTCTGTTTCTCATCCCCAACAATTGATCCTGGTAGTGAAAGAGTACCATTTTATCATCTCTTTCCTGATCTTTACTCACACACTGTACTAGCAATTGTTCCCCTTGGTGATGCTGACATCAGTCGTGTGACAGTATCTGCTCATCACGTCACACTTGCTATTAGAGTGGGAAGTACCCCTAATACACACGTTTGGCCTCTGTATGCTTTCCATGCTACAACTGTCTTTAGCTTTTCACATGTGATGGACAACACTGGGCAAGACAGTCTCCATGCCAACCCATACCTGGCAGCTCTCCTTCATCCCTTCTCCACACAAAGGTGTACTGACTCTAGTGCTGTGAGACCAGCTCGTGGCTTACGTTTGCTTAGTTCATGCCTAGCTAAGTGAGAAAGACTGAAATGGATTAAAAGGAAGACACGAAATAGTGTTTGTGTCTGCTGCAGTGGTACACAGCTATAATCCCAGTGCTCAGGAGGCTGAAGCAAGAGAACTGCCAAGGACAAAACAACACTATGTTAAAAAAAAAACCACACAAAAGAAAACTGTCTTTAAAAAATAAGTTTTTGTCCTGAGTGCAAAGAAAGCTTATCTCAGTTCCATTAAAAGTCCATGGTAATCTGGGCTAACAGGTACACTTGCTGCAGACTCACACAAAAGCACAGCATGAGGTCAGTCTCAGTACACACACTGCTATGAAACTCAAGTAAAACCCAAAAGATAGGCACCCAAATACACCTATCCACCTGGCAACCTTCCAACATTGAAACCAGTTTTTAGATGCTAGGGAAGGCTCAACACAGACATGGAGTATTCCTCATGTTGATAGAAGTCACTTTGCAGAGCTAGGGATGTGGAAACA